CATGGAATAGCTCTAAAGATGATCAGTTTCTTTCAGTGTATGTGACATTGTCTTTGGCTGGCCATATCAGCATTGCTTCATTTTTTCTCATCTTTCACACACTACAATAGAAAACATGGGAAAGAAATTTGAACTGGACACACTTTCCCATCTTTCACTGAATAGTAATATTTAAAAGAACCCAGAAACTTGATAAAATATTAGTTCTTCTTGGGGGTACTGCCTCTTAGAAAATTCCTGGAGAAGACACCAGTGTCTTGAATTAGGGGTGCACTGATAAAGATTTTTTTGGCTGATACTGATGACCGATTATGAACCAGCCATGTCGGCTGATACTGATCCAATAGCCGACATGCAGCCTGGCAGCTTGGAGAGCAGCAACTGACTAGTAAGTCTGTGGGGAGGAAGGGACATGGGGGAAAGGAAGTGGTGGGGGGGGGTCAGATTGAAGCCCGCACAGTGAGGGAGGGAATGGGACTGGGGCAGAGGCAGGTGTTTCCCAGCCAGGCCGGGGGCATGGGACAGAGCCATGGACAGCTCGTCCAGGGGTCACGGGGAGGGGAAGTGCAGGGGGACAGAAAAGGGGTTACCTCCCTGCCACTGCATGCATCCCAGGGAGAGGCACGGGGGATATGTGCCCCTTAGATTTGTGTGTAGGTGAGGGCAGGTTACCCACTGTGGGCTTATGGCCTGGGGCTGCACCGGCCTCTTCCCAGTGGGGGGGCTGGGCCAAAGCTTTGCTCAGGGCATGTGGGGGCAGGATGGCAGCCACGGCAATGGGAGGGGGGGGCTATAGGGTGGGCAGTAGCCACCCCAAAATTTGCCATAGCTACCCTGTAGCTCCCCTCCGTGTGCTGCCGACACTCGATCTGCTCCCCCGATGTCCTTTCCCTTTCCCTCCCCCATGCCGCTTTCCCCCCACAGACTTACCAGCCAAACGCTGGTCTCCAAGCTGGCAGGCTGCATTCCTGGCCACATGCATGCTGCGGCTGCATGCATGCACTTGGCATTTATCGGTGACATTTATCATCTACCCTGGCCAGTAATGACAATTTTCCTTTTATTGGTGCTGATCCAATATGGACCGATAAATCTGTGCACCTCTAGTCTGAATGGATTGTGGCCCTTTTCTTATCACCTCTAGGGGAAATTATTGTTTGTTATATATTTTTAATTCATTAAGGAAGGTTTTATGCTCTGGATATGTATGATTTCCTGATAATTACTTTATAATACAAGGGACCTTTATAATGTTGATACCTTTATGGTATCAGACATGAAATGAAGGGAAATGTTAGTTGGAATCTTCTTTAAGAAGTCTTTGGCACTTCAAAAAAGCAAATTGAGAAAATCTGTTTTTCCATTACTGGAAGGTAGCATTAGGCCCTAAATTTCAGACCTCATCCCTACAAAGAAAATGGTAGAATGACAGTGTGCCCGCCTCTGCTCCAAAAGACGCTCTTGGGCAACTCTTGCGCGGGTGGCTAACCGGATCTGCCCCGCTCTCGCTGGGGAATCCCCGGAACTCGCCGACCGTGGCTGGGCCCGCAGCAGGGGGGTCCCCCTCTCTGCTGCCTCCAGCACCAAAGCGCCCCTGGGCAGGCTCTCACGGGGCTCCGACCTCCCCTACACCCCGGCCAACGCCACCTTTGGTCGCGGACCTTCTGTTCCTTGTCCCCGGACGAGGACTGGGCGTCAAGGACCCTCTTTGCCCTTGCTGCCTTCTTTCCCCACCCCCCGCCGGCATCTCTGCCTGGGCTCCCCTGGTTCCCTCACCGGGATTCCTGCCGGCTCTATTCCAGTTCCCTCACCGGAGTTCCTGCCGGCTCCCTCTCTGGGTTCCTCCTCGGAGCCTCTGCCGGCTCGTCCCCCATTACCTCACCGGTGGTTCCGTTGCTCCCAGCGCTGCTGCCGCCTATTCGGCCCACGGCCAAGGCCCCTTGCGGGTGCCTGGTTCCACTTCCGGGCTTCCCCCCGGGCTTCACGTCCTCTCGCAGTGCGCCCCCTCTGCCTTCGGGGCCGCGTTTTATTTCCACTGAGCGGCGCCTCTCTCTGACGTCACTCCGCCCCAGCTGTATGAAAGCGTGGCTAACGAGCCGCGCGGGTGGTTCCCCGGCCTGCATGCCGCCACTGCTCCCACCTCCTGCGAAGCATAAGTGAGTATTTCCTCTGGCTCTGGGACGGGGTCTCCCTCTAGTCCCGTTGTCCCTGGGACAGACAGGAATCTCCAAGGTGGCCTTGAGAATTAGTGTTGCCTGAAGGAAACTGAAGAAGTGTTGGGGGGTGAAGGACATGGAGGGATAGGAAGTTTGCTTGGGAAAAAAAAGGTTGGTTCTTCTGGGCATACTGGAGTGCCTGTGTTTGAAAGTGTGTGACAGGCAGCTGCAAGGAAGCTGATAAAAGATTTACTCTGCAAACCCAGCATGTGAAGGATTGAAACTATATCCCCTTTCCTAATTAAAAATATGATAAAAGAAAGCATGCTTTAAATCACTGAGGTGCAGGCAAGAAGATAAAGCTTTCCTTTTCTTTCTTGTTTTATATTTTTTTAAGACTTCTCTTATTTAATGCCACAGAGGGATAACTAAAATATAAAACCAACTGTGAAACAGCTTTCTGGATTTTCCATTCCAGTGACTCTGGCAGAGATTTGATCCTTGGTCTTTGGGGTGACGTTAAGTTTCCTTATAAAATATTTATACAGAACAGTGCCTTAGGGTAGATGTGTGTTTGTAGAGCAGCCTTATAGTTAAAAACAATGAAGTTTGGGCTGCTATTATAATCTCTCTTGTATTGCATTAAGATATCTTCTTCAACATTTATTCAAGTAAATTCATTTAAAAGCTTTTTCTATTAGCTGTTATAATTAAGGGTTACTTGGATATTAAGGGTGTCTTGGATTAGGATGCACCAACTTAGAAGTTGAGTTGGTCTTTGGACATTTTTATGTTATTAGCATAAAGGATGGTCATGGTGTTGACAGCTGTGTTATGTAGCCATTATTCCTCTTCCAGGTAATGATGATTAATAATAATATTTTGTAGCTTTGGCATGGGAATAAACATTCGGCCCCTTTGCAATGGAATTTACAATTTAGGTTAAACATAATTGGGTGTTATTTGGGGTTAAGAAAGCAAGAAAAAAGAAGTTTAAATGAACTAAGATTACAGGATAATACTATTTCTAAAATATGCATCATGTTAGGCCTAAATATTATCTTTTTTACATTAATGTAGATTGTATTAGTTTGGCACAAGAATATGAGTGGTTATTGGTAAACATGTTTTGAAGAGGGACCTGGAAGAGGTTTGGGAGGTTGTATGGCAGAAGGGAGCAGGGAGACCATTCCAAGCATATGAAACAGCATGAAAGAAAAGGAAGTTCCTGTGAAAGAAGGATACAAAGAAGTTTGAAGGTGAGTAGAATGATCAGAACACAGAGCCTGAGTGAGGATGGTGGAGTGAGACTGGTATCAGGATGGGACTGAAGCGATTACTTAGATTGCTCAGTGAGGAAGGTGAGTTTAGCTCCCTCAGTTTGGTGAGACTGGTAGCCTGCAGGCAGGAGTCAGGTACAATACAGAGGAGGTAGTGGCAAGACAGAGAGTGCTATTCCAGACTTTCTCTCCCATGAAAGAGGTGAGTGGCAGAGCTCAGGTTCAGAATGATTATGAGTTGGGGATATTCCCTAATCTGCATGCTATATTATGTAACTCTTATTTATTTATCCAGTGTCCTGGATAGACATATTTTTAAATAAATACAGATCAGGAGAATCCTTCAGGGGAGGCTGACCAAATGTGAAGCAAGGAGAGTATGGATACAGTGCAAGGGAATTCATACAGACACTGAATAAGGTCAGTTTTGTGCCAGAAAGAAGTAATGGTGTGTCAGAAAGAAGTAATGGACCACTGTATGGAAGGAAAGAAAAACAAAGTAGGTTTGAGGAAGTGAAGTAGGGTTGTAACTGAAATAGAAGTGATGGATGATGAGCAAGGGAGAGAAATAAAGCTTGTTGACAAGAAAGAGGAGCCAATGGAGGACATCATTGTGATTCTTGGACTTTCTTCAGAGATGGTGACTCAGGCCAAAAGTGAAGAAAATTCATGGGGAAAAACTGGAGTTGTTCACTGGGGTGTGCTGTGTAGATGAAGCAGTAGAGGTTTTACCCATAACATACTTGTCCTATGCACTGTCATGCAACCTATGACAAATCCCATGCCATTTAGCCAGGCTTCTATTGGTATCAGAGCTAGAAAATTCAAAGCTAGTTTGTGTATATAGAGCCCATTACGGTCACAATTTTGGTCTCTATTGTGGACATGCCTTAAGTCACATAAGCACTTTTGGATTTTTCTTTGCAAGGCATTATATTCCTACTAACATCAATGGTAAAACTTGCATTAACTGTATTAAGTGCCCTCATTTGCTCTCTTATTGCACAGCAAAATAAAGTTCATATAAAATATTTAAAATCTTTCCTTAAAATATTTCAGAATGAGCTTTTCTTGCAAGAATTAGGTTAAAAATAAAAGTATATTGTCTGTAGGAAAGTAAGAATTTCCATAGAGTTCAGTTTTTTTAATATAAACATTCAATTATTTCATTTTTCCTAAAATGTATTTCTCTTTTCTTTATAAAACTAGGTCTGTTGCTTGGTGTCGCTGTTGTAAAATATATCGTACTACTACCCATACAAACTTGTGATTTGACTTTATTTTCACTCTGGGTATGATCCCTGTATATGTTGTATATAACATGTCCTTGAGTACTGAGGAATGAAAAATAGTGAATATAAATAAAAGGCATCTGTGAGACATACCTTATTTTCTTTTTCAGTGTCTGCATTAATAAAACATTTTTAAATAAATGTATTTAGCAGAATCAGCATATTGCTTTATTCCTTTGAGTGCTTGTCTTATTCACTTAAAGTGTTTTAATTTTAATATTGAGAGTTCTGGAAGCTAACACACACATGCATATATATGTGCTTTTGTACAGGTAACAAGTTCTGGGTCTTCAAGGACACCACTCTCCAGCCAGGGTATCCTCAAGATTTGATAACACTCGGAATCGGAATTCCTCCCCATGGTTTTGATTCAGCAATTTGGTGGGAGGATGTTGGGAAAACCTACTTCTTCAAAGGAGATAGGTTGGTATTGGAGTCCTGGAAGAAAGTAATTTGATTGATTAATGTCAACAGGAGTACATGAAGTATTTGGTTATCTTTCATAAAAGATACAATCTGATCCATTTACAATATTAAATATGAATTGTGGAGAAAATTCATCTGAGTGTCAAGTGCCCTCATAATGCCTATGCATCATTCAAAGCCTATACTATTTTTACATGTTGCCTTTTCAGTCCAAAAGGTGTTTTTAAGGATTAGCAAGTAATTCAGAGTTTCAACAAATTTGAACAAATATTCAAAGTAGTACAGTTATCATGGAGCTTAATTTTATTCAAGTAATCTTTGGTCTTCTTCCATTTTCCTTTCTACCTTCATGGTTAAGGTAGCACATAAACAGGAAAAGACCAATCCAAAGCCTATGTACATAACTGGAAACAGTTGCTGTGCAGCTTTTAAGAAATGAATTGGAAAGGGTAAGCAGAAGTTAAGACTGGAAATCAGCAAACTATTTGAGCAGTTTAAAATCAGACTGTTTGAATTACTGTTAAATAATTATGTATTTATTACAATTTATTTTTGCTGCTACTCCTGCTGCTGCTACTGCTGGTATTACTGCCGCTGCTATTGCCGCTGCTTTGGTGACCTAGCAACCTTTGAGTTGAAAGCATCATCATCATCATTAGTAGTAGTAGTAGCAGTAGTATTCCAGTACCATTAAGCATTAAAAGTAATGTTGGATATTTAGGAAACTAGTTTGAATATACATCATCATACTGTATGTTAATCACACTACTGTTAACCAAACTGTCAATTGTTTTTATGTCAGTATTGTAACAATACATTATAGAGTGCCAGAATCAATATTAAGATGTTCTTCACATTTCTGTGCTCATGGGAAAGCAAGCAAATAACTGACTGACATTTCTTGGTGTTTGAAACCTGTGCTTCTACAAACATATTTCAAACAATCAGCTTTCACTGGGCGCATCTGCACGAGATACTACGTTCACCATAACAATGCTCTACGGCGATGTAGCATCAGCTAGCACAAACTGTGGCACTGTAGCTATGTTGCTGTAGCAACACACTCCCTTGCTATAGCGCATCGCTATGGTGACGTAGTGGCTAAAAATAACCATGCACCGCCGGCACCACACAGTAACAACAGTGCCATAGAGGCATGTGTAGTCACACCCACTGTGAACAAAACCAGTCTTATAATTTGTGTTCTATATTTGACAAGATTTTATATTTGTTTTCAGTTAACAGTTTTCCAGCTATATGTCCTTTAGGCTTTACTCAAGAGAGGAATGAAATAATATATTTCCATGTATAGGTAGCTACATGAAATCAAGGCCTTCCTAAAATACTATTAGCAATAGCAGAAAACTGAGAGAGCTATCAAAGGCAACTTCTTTTGATGGAGCAGTGGTTACTTAGAGCTATAACAAGCATAATAAGGCTCAGCAGGACATAAATGCAATGCAGTATGTAAGGAGAAGATCGAAGAACATGAGTCTAGCAGAGATAATTGAGCTATTGCAGGATATTGACCACTAGTGGGAATAAACCCACATCCTACTAAGCTTCTCAGTATGTATTGTTTATATCACAATTTTTTCCTCAACATAATGCTGGAGTTGAATTCTCCTGCTGCTTTTAATGGTATGTATAAGTCTCTTATATTTTTTTTAACTAGCTACAACCCAGTGTTTCATCTTTTGTGGTATAAAGTAGAAATGAAAGAATCAAGAGGTTGTGGCAATGTCAAAATAGAAAGGGGTATTTCTTCACATATGTATCTACCACAAAGAGCTTTAGGTTTATTTTCTTTTTCCTTAGCAATAATCTGTAGTGAAAGAGCCCCATGTTAGAACCTAGGCTTCATGTTAAAAGGTCTAAAACAATACGATAACTATACGGAGTTACTTTAAACATGTCAAAACCTAAAGACTTGTCATCACCTTATCCTAAACTATTGTATTCTGTAGCAGAATGACTATTCTATTTTCACAATGCCAATATCAGCTGCAAAATCTAAAACATTATTTTTAAAGCAAAATATTGATAGATTACATGAATTAAAAACAGTTTCAATTTATATGTGGGAGAAAGGAACTATTACTAATGTACATCTTTTAAGTGAGGTGAGATGACAAAATAACTAGTGTCTTGCTACAGCTCAGTGCATGGTTTCAAACCTTGCTTCACCCTCACTCTTAACTCAGCTGTAAATAGGTATCTGCTCTTTCAACAGGGGAGTCATAGGCAGCTGGACATGAAACCTAGTTGTCTTTGCTTCCTTTTTTTCTATTGACATGAAAGCTATATGCCTAAACCACGTTAGTGTGTATGATTGGTCTTCTAGGCTCAGATGGACCTTGATTGACTTTTAAAGTGAGACATGGGAAGAAGAGTTCCTAAATAACTGTATATTGTTGGGGCTAGTTTACCACTTTATGGTGCTACAAATTGGCTGAATGAATGGCGCTGTTATTGTTTTTGGCACAATTAACAAGGTAATTGGACCATAAATGCAATGTATGCCAGGAGCCATGAGATATCTACTTTGTTCTGTGATGTCAGTACAGCTCTAGATAACGTTTAAGAGGAGCCAGTTTGCCTGTTGCAATTTGGCATACTTGAGCTTTCTTTCAGCTTTCAGAGGTTCCCACTTTTTAAATATATTCTTACTTTTAATCCCAGGCATAATTTCAGGGCTGCTAGCTTACTAGTTAGATGTTTCTAAACTGTTCTTTTTAATCAGAACACTCATTTTGAAAGGTTTAGTAGGACCACCTGCCCCAGTCCTTCAAGCAGGGAGAAAAGGATGGAAACCATTGAGAGAGAATATTAATAAAGGAAGGAGTTACAGCAGTATGCAGAGATGGGAGGAGGAAAAAGAGAGAGAAAACAGTAATGAGTGGAGGGGGAAAAAGTAAAAAAGAAAAAGATAAAAGGTAAGGGAACATATAATGAGGGAAAAGTTAAAGCAGCCATGAAATGTAGGAGGAGGGAAGATGAGTAGAATACACAAAAGGCATTTAAATGTTAAACTAGAAACAGAGACAGAGGAAAGAACGGGAGGGAAAAACAGAAGAGACAAAAAGTGGAGAAAAAATGGCAACTGAAAAACCAAGAGATGCAAAAGTAAAATGGGGGAGGAAAAATGGCTTCGTACAACTAATATTTTACAGACACATTTATTATTTCTATATGATGTTTCTGTTTTATAGCGTAATTCTCTAAAAAATGTGCAAAAACTATTAATCAAAGGGGTAGAATAATGTTGCTGATGGAACTTAGACTGCTTCTTCGTGAATATGTTACTAGATTAAGGGATCAGAGATGTTTTATTCCATACACCAGAGCCAGAAAATCACTTGTCTAATATTAACTATTAATTGGTTTTAAATTTGCCACCTTTTAAATCTATTGAAAGTTTCGGACTGGAGAAAGTGTGTTGCTGTTAGAGAATGAAAGAGCTCAATCCACTTAGATTATCCGAAAGACAATCAAGAAGTGACTTCATTAAGATTCATAAGTATTCTGCACCAGGAAAGGATATCAAGCCTCTAGACTAGCAGAAAAAGGCATAACAGGAACAAACAGCTAGAAGCAAAAGCCAGACAAATTCAAATAAGGAAGCACACATTTTTAGCAGTGAACAAATTACTGAGGGAAGTGGTAGATTTTTCTTCTGAAATGGAAACTGTGGGATCATCTACACATGTATTTGATCTGGGATCAGTTTACTGACAAGTAAACTATTCACGAGTGAATGCTTCCGGGGAGGCAGCTGCACATGCAGGGAAGTGGGACCACATTTGCTGCTAATGGCAACAAATTGCTCTTGCTTTCTGGGGCCCTGCAATGGGCCCCTACTGTCACCAAGGGGAGTTCTAGGCTCCTCCTGGATAGTAGGCCAGGGGCTGGCAAGGAGCACCAGACCAGGACACATCTGTCTCCTGGCCAGGGCTGGGACATTACACCCTGCCCCCAGGGGCTGCCTTTTGCCAGGGTGGGGACAATGTCCCCCTGCCCTGGCAGCAGGGAGCTCCTGACCCTGGCTCCCCAATCAGGAAATCAGGGAGCCTGTTCCCTGCCCAGCTCCATGAGTGTGGAGCTGGGCAGGGAACAGGCTGGGGAGCTTATTCCCCACTCAGCTCTGAGAGTGCAGAGCTGAGCAGGGAACAAGCTCCCAGCCTGTTCCATGCCCAGCTCTGCTCATGAAGCTGGGCAGGGAATAGGCTCCTGGCCCTCACCAGCAGGGAGCCTCCAGCTTCGCACCATGGTGCTGGCGCTGGGAGACCCTTATCTCCCAACGCCAGCTCTGCAATCACAGAGGATCTCCCAGCTCCTGCTTCCTGATCACGATTTTGGAGCAGGGTGCTTGAAGCTCCCTGCGCCAGGCATCTAGACGAGCACTACTGCGCTGTTACTAATAAAAACTAAATTTGTTAATTGCATTTGCAAGTACCAAACTTGTGATTAGTGAAGTTTACTGTGTATTAAGCATGTGCATATGTAGATGCATGTGCCTACTGTGCAGGAAACTACTACGCAGTTAAATGTCTTGTGTAGATGTACCCTGTGTGTTTTAGATGTGCACAAATCCTTATCGAAAACAGGGAGAAGTTGAGGCAGAGTGACACCTTAGAAACTAACTGGTTCAGAGATGATGATCTTTCATAGACAACAACCTACTTTGTCAGATTCAATTTAATATATATGAAATGAATAGGGTTTTCTAGAAGTTATATGGGAATCCTGTAGAGTTTTCTTTTAATCATTCCTCATAATACCACAAGGAATATTATTATGTTAAACTTTATAGGTTTGTTCAAAAACAAGTAGAAATGTTATTATTCTCTATTACAGTCTATGGAAGTTTGCATAAAAGAATTGGATTTATAAATAATAAAGCTACAAACATATAAATACTGTATTGTGTGGAAGGTATACAGCAGAACGGAATTTTACTTTAATGACCATCATATACACAAAAGTGGCTTGATCCAAATGTTCACAGACAAAGATAATCATTCTTATAAGCAACAAATTACTCAAAAGAGTGGGGTTCAGACCTGAGGGCCTACAGCAAACTTAATTATGTCCTAACTCTTAATCAGAGTTATCACCAAGGATCTTGGTTTTCTCTGTTTAAAAATCACAAATTCTCTGATTAAAAACCCCAAAATCTGTGATTAAAATGAAACGCCACTGTATATATAGGTATCCATTGAACACAATGTTTTATTGATATATTTAAAATTTAAAATATGGTGTAAAACATTTGGAAGCCTACCACTGCCTCAATCAGTATAATAATATAAATTCCAAGTACTATAAATTTTAGTATTTGATTTTGGGGTTTTTTATCATGGAAAATCAGAGCTTCCCCTGCCCCTTTACTCACCAGGACACAGGTCCAGGCCTATCACTCCCAAGCCACTGCCCCCCAAGCCCTGCTGGTGCTCTTCACTCCCCACCCACAGCTCCCTCACCCCTGCTGGTGCCCCTCACTTTCCACCCACAGCCCCCCCCCACTTCAGCCAGCCTGGGCGGAGGGGGCCCCCAGCTGCCAGGGCTAGGGGCCAGGGACCCGGGTCCACAGCCCTCTGCCCCCTGCAGCAGCACCTGCGTCCTGGTTGCCCCACATGGGAGGCAGCAGCTGCTGTGGCAGAGTAGAGTGAAGCTCCTCCTCTGGCTTCTCCTCCCCTATGGGTGGCATAGCTGGGGCAAAGCCCATGGTGGTTGTGGTGGGTGCAGACTGCCCACTGCTGGCTCCCTGCCATGCTGCCCTCCCCTGGGCCTCTGTGGCCCAGTGGGTGGGACCCAGTGCAGCAGGGCAGAGCAGAGCCAGGCAGGGAGGCTCATTGCTGCTGCTGGGGCCGCACGACCATGATGAGGCACCACCTGCCTGCCTGGCAGCAGCAAGGGGTACAACTCCATGCCATCACTCCTGCTGCTAGGTGGGCAGGGGGCACTTTGCCAGGGCAGTGTGGGGCTTGCACAGGGGCAAAGAGCTTCCCCACCTGGCCCCACTCTGCACTGGGCTGTGGAGGCCCCAGGGGGAAGGCAGCAGAGCAAGGAGCCTGAGCCTGCAGCAGGCAGCCTGGCCCCGCCCTGTGCACAAATCTGGGGGACACATGCCCCCTCTGTCCCCCTGGGTGCGCATGCAGTGGTGGGTAGCCAGTTCCTCCATCCCCCAGATGAGCCACTCATGGCTCTGTCCTGCTCCCCACCAGGGCCCAGTGGCCGCATATTGCAGCCACATATCGTGGCCCCAGGTCCCAAGCCCCATGCACCACCACGGCTGGGCATCAGCCGCAGCTCCAGCCCCAGCCCTGCCAACAGTCTCCGTCCCTCCCTCTGTATGGGGGCCTCAATCTCCCCTTCCCCACTACCAGACTTTCCTGCGGGATCTGCTCTCCAGGCTGCCTGGTGGCCACATGCATGTGTGAGCGTGCATGTGCACATGGTGCCCCCTGCCTCTCCTGCTCTGTCCAGCCTGTGCTTTTCTTGGTTAAAAGGGGAAATCAGTGTTTTTTTCTGTTTTTTCCATGGAAAACAGAAAACCCAGATCCCTGGTGAGCGCCAAATAACATAATGTTCTGTGCTTATATGTTAGAAGCCATTAAGCCATATTTTCATAATCAAATACAAATGTGTGCTATACTTTGTCTTGCTGCATGAGCACATAAGCTGAATATTAACTCTTCTTCTGTGTAAATTATATCAATTATTTATTGTTATTTCTCACAAGTTCAGGTTGCCTTGAACTTGTGTGCTGTTTATTTCTGAATTAAACATTTTTACAGTCAGTGAGATACATGAGGTATAAAGAATTGTGTATCATTTCATACATATTGTATGATAATATAATGAAAAATGATTGTAATGAATGTACACAGTGGGTAGAGTTAAGCTTGCTACTGGAGCCTTAACTTTGAATTCAGTGACTTCTTTGTAATTAAAATCTCATCTGAAACATTTATGTAGCTTTTTGCATATACTGTATCTTCTTGTTGCTATGCAGAAGCCCTAGGCATTAGAAATGCTCTGATTATAAATAAGGTATATGTTTATTCAGATGTTAAGCTAGAGAACTCTTTTATCTGCTGTATACTAATTTGAAACAGCTGTCTAGTCAGCTTGTAGATTAAACTGATATGATACTTAGTAACATTTCTAACCAGGAGAAGTCTAGTCACCCTGCTTTCAGTCATTAAATGCACCCCATTGTTAGAAAGAAAATTTGTACATCCACTATCATAATAAAATTTGTCCTTTTAATTTTTTTCTATAAATTAGGTACTGGAGGTACAGTGAAGAAGTGAGCTCCATGGACCCAGGTTATCCCAAACCGATCACAATCTGGAAAGGTATCCCAGAATCTCCTCAGGGAGCCTTTGTCCATAAAGAAAATGGTATGCAAGTACTTTCTTGTTTTAATCACATTCTGCTGTCGGTTTAGAGTTATAGAGGCAAAGGAGTTTTTTGCTACAGGTCTAGAGGCATGAGTTTAAGAGTCAACTTAACTCTATATGCTACCCTGTAAACTGAAGATTCAGTTAGCCAGTTAGATCTGAGGTAGCCACATGTGCTATTGACTACTGGAATTGTTATGCCTTAACTAAGCTAGCCTAATGGGTTACTAGGCCCAGGACAACTTTTAACCTTGACCTAATGTTTCTTAACATGCATAGGTATGATTGGCTAATTAAGCTGGTGGATTGACTGAAGACTTTTTTTTTACCCAGAGAAAATGTTTCATACTGTGGAACTCCTCTCTGAAACTCTGTTATACGGTTGTTTGATTGTTCTGTTTGCAATTACAATGAAAGGAAGAGAAAGAGTTTTAATCTTCATATAACACATTTTAATTTGTGGTTGGGCATCTCGTTCATTTTGCTGCTTATTTTTGTTCTCTTCTTGATGTGAGTGTTTCATAAAACAGGCAGTGTTGTTAGTCACTGATGCAGTTCATCCAACATAAAAGCTATTACTTTCATTTTGGAGTACTCTGGAGCAGAACCATGCTCTTCTATTATAAGACTGGAAGTATCTCATACTATATAATGCATAGGTACAGTGCACAGGGACCATGCATCTCAGCATGCAGTGCTATTACCTGGGCCAAGATGGCGCATCATATGGGGCAACCTAGCATCTCCAAAGGTTTCTCCTCCAACTGAATGAGAGCAGCTGAAGTCAATTCCATTTTATGTAAATTAAGTGCTACCCTTGGTCTACTGGCAATTTGCCGGTGCAACCATAAATTGAACAAAGTTTAGATGCTTCTGATGTAAACAAAAGTATTGCTTACGCTCAGCGTTCATTTCTGGGGATAAGTTTCTGATTTAGTTGTTTATGATTGAAGGATCCCCCTCCCCCCCCCCAACCTACACATCTTTCTTGCTATCTTGTTTTCATTTCCCTTTAATAGGTAAATGTATAGCTTACTTTTCTAGTTTCGGTCATTTCTTCCTCAAACTTGTTTAACTAATTTGCTTTGGAAACACTTTTCTCCAAAATATGCTTAATCACTTCCTTGATTTGTCTCTGTTTCACCCACCAGCAAAAACCCTCCTCTGATTCTGGCTAGTGTGTTCTTTTAAAACAAAAGTAGGTTAAGTAAGATGCTGTTTTGCATATAAGTATCGCACATGAGCTGACCTTCTGTGTGTATACATACATGTATACACACACACATACATATATAAATTTGTTCATATACACACATATACACAGTGGGCACATCTACACAAAACGCTACATTACCATAGCGATGAGCTACAGCGACATAGCTCATTGCTACACTGACATAGCATCGGCAGGCACAAACCATGACGCCAATGCTTCATGGCTGTAGCGATGAGCTACCTTGCTTTAGTGGATTGCTATAGCAATGTAGCTGCTAAAAATAACGGCGCCGCTGGGATGGCACAGTAACAACTGTTACTGTGCCATCATTTACTTCCTAAAGCAAGTATTAAATGACAGCGCAGTAACAACTGCGCCATGAGGGGCACATGTAGACATGCCCTTTGGGTTTAATATTTTCTTCCCTTGACACGTTACCATTTAGTTGTCCTTCTTAACAGTACCTTACTCAATGGAACTAAAAATAGCAGTTGTTCCAAGCTAGAGTCAACTCATTATCATAACCCAGTATTGTACCCTGTAAATTATACACATATTTCACATTAGCAGTGAAAGGTATCTCACTTTCACATTCAAACAGATGAATCTTCAATGCTGCAGAGACAAGTCACGCAAGGAAGAATTGCTTCCAATTAATCCATTTGATTTTAAAATGTATATTTTTATCCTTTACCCTTTTAGTTTCGTATTAAAAACAAGATGAGGTATGCCCATAGGCAGAAGATAGATGGGGCTAAACTCCAAAAAGTTGGTTGGAATCATGTTAAGAAAGGTCTTGGACATCTGGCAACTCCAGATACTTTCTTGGTATGAGCCCACCATTTAGAAAGCTTTATAAAGCTTAAGCAGGTAGAAGTATGACAAAAAACTGGAGGTTGGCATGATTGAGTAATTAATGCTGGAGACATGAGAACTGTAAATGCTGGATTTTTTTTTAGAGGTACATGTTTGTTTTTCTGTTAAATTCTAGTAATCACCTTGAAAAAAGCAATAATTTTGTCTCTCCTTGTAGAGTACTGGATTGTGTTAACTTGTAACTAAGTCATCTTCATCCTCTTTATAGGAATCTCTTTTCAAACTTTAAAAATCTCTAACAAATAGAGATCAGGATGACACCTAATCCACGGGATAGATTATCTTGAAGATGCCTTTTGTTAGATCTTCCACCTTCTTTGGAAGACTGTGGTACGGGTCACTGCTGAGACATGATTAGATAGACTTTGTCTGACGCAGAAATAGATTTGGTTAGGAAATAGTCTGCCCATCCTGCAAGAATTTTCAAGCTTTCAAAACAATGTTCCCAACCTGAATTGGGAAGAGAGAAACATTTTTTTAAATAAAAAATATGAAAAAATGTCAGATTTGGTTAATCAAAGTGTACCATTTTGATAATATTTATAAGTATTATTCCATTTAACATGTTTACCACACTTACATTTCTAATTGAAAAGTCATTTTGAACCCAAAATAGCCCTTTTTCTATCAATAATGTTGAAATGGGAGGTTTAAACAGTTGTTAATTTTAATTTTTTTTCAGTTTATTGAAATTGATCTTCTCTGGCAGTTAGTTTCTGTTTTAACAAATCTGCATTTTCTGAAGTAGAAAAATTTTGGTTGAAAAATTCCTAACCAGCTACATATAGTATATGTTCCTCTGATGTTGTCCCCTCTTCATTTGATAATGCAGTGAAATGCCCATAATCATCAGTATCCTTTCTATTCTCTAGAGTTGGATTTTTATTTACATACTGTGGTTTCTAAATAAGGCATTGTTATGTTGAGGAAATGAATGTGATTCCCTGCTAAAGATAATGACATTAAAAAACTGCAACTTCGCATTTGTTAATGAGCAAATCTATTGGCTTCTAAGTTTAAACTACAGATTCCTTTAAAGTATTTTAATGCATTGAAAACCTCAACTTTTGAACTAAATGTTGATGGCACAGTAATAATTATTGTGCTCTTTTATGCTCTTTTATGGTTTATTCTATTAGTGGGGAAGGCATTTCATGACCAAATAGCCTAACAGCAGTTTTGATATAGGTCACTACAGTTCTTTTTATCTAGTCAGTCATATACATTTCAAGCTAAAGATACAGATATGTAGACATAGACACTCACAAGGTTTTAAATATTAAAACTGCAAGGGACCAGATAAAATGTATAAAAATATCTACTCAACTGTCTGAAACATAATTAGAATTACATAAATAACTACTGCAAAAAGATGTTTTTAAAAAATCCTCACATTATAAAATGAATAACAGTGGTGGACTGAGAGTTCATACAAAAAGTTTTGAGCAGGAAAAATAATATTCTAAAAAATTCCTCTTCCATATGTCTACAAGAAGCCAGCTTTTGCTGTCCTATGTAATTATTACGAATTCAAACACGTAGGGCTCCTCTACCCATGCAGGTAAAGGCACACTGGGATCTAATGCATGATCCACACATTTGCATCTCCTGCTATGTCACACATGCATGGTAGGAGGTGTGATTGTGGGACTGTGCATTGCAACCCATTGTGCATTATTGCTGGGGTGGAGAGGGTGAAACCCATAGGGCTGGGAAATGGCAGCTGGTGCAATCTCCCTTTCTTAGGGGTTTCATTCACCCTCAAAGTTGGCAGATCATAGCAGCTGTGATTTCCCAGCCCTGAGAGTCCGAGTCACCTCAGTTACAGGGCTCGCAGCCCTGATTGGGCATGGTGCACCTCTGTGGCTGAGAGTCCCATCAGCTGATGGGCCTCCCACCCACTGGGGAGACTCTGATACATGTGCAAGTTATAGGTGCTTGGAGTTTTTTATGGCATGATAGGTACTTTGCATGTAGCTGGTTTCAAGATAATTGTGCAGTACCCTTAATGCGAAGAGGGGGCCTTAATTGTTATTAATCTGACTTCCCAGAAAGCATTTTCAAAATGAAAAATTCTGTCCAATCCATCTTATTTTTCCCAGTGACCTTTAGCACTGTAGGAAATAACTTGAGACCTATAAAGTAAAGATAAGGGCATTTCCTGCTGTTTGCATTCAGTTCACAAACAGTAGGAAGATGTTCTTCCTTCTTGAAGGTTTATTTCATGCCAGATCAATACCATTTTTTTAAATGGGATAATAAAATGCTGAAGGTTTTTGGCAGGAAGTCAGCTTTTCTTCATTTAAGCATGTTTCATAATTATATTGGATTGCATCTGAATGATCAAATACCAGCTCCCCACAGAAAATTTGAGGCTAGGTACACCTGTTTTCTCTGGACAACACTGTTGTTAGTTCACATAGTGAACATAGTGCTTCTTGTTTCTGAAGTACATCAGTAAACTGAAATGGAATTGAAGGTGGTCAGTTCTCATTTCAAACTAGATTGGCACATTGTTGAAATTTGTTTGAATGGACCTTCTATAAAGAGAAGGACTGGAACTTCTTAAAGTGTTGGGACTCAGCCCTGGTATAACCTTGATTAAATGTTCAATTAGTAGGAAACATTTGTTCCTGCAGTTGTTCAAAATGGTTTCTCTGGGATTCCTTCCTCAGTATGTAAACAGATAAAAGACTTGATCCCAGCTTAATCAAATAAGAACCGTGAAATCTAAGAATTTTTCCAAAAATGAATGAGGTTCTTCCTTGAACACTAATCTGAACAAGAGGTTTCTTGGGAGCCATATACCTATTGCCAAGAACAAAAAGCTCCCGATTCTAAAATATAGTTCACTAATCCATGTAACTTTATTTTCTAGATTCTGAGGCTATAAAATAATTCAGTGGCATTTGTTTGTACTAAACGGCTTAACTTCAGCCTTTGTAAGTTATTGATATGACCCTGAATAATTGCACTTTTGTTTCCCAGGCTTCACATATTTCTACAAAGGAAAGGAGTACTGGAAATTCAATAACCAGATGCTCAGGGTGGAACCTGGATATCCCAGATCCATCCTCAAGGATTTTATGGGTTGTGATGGCCCAACAGACCGAGACAGAGACCGATACAGCCCTCAAGATGACGTTGATATTGTCATCAAACTGGACAACACAGCCAGCACTGTGAAAGCCATAGCCATTGTCATTCCCTGCATCCTGGCCTTGTGCCTCCTTGTCTTGGTTTACACTGTGTTCCAGTTCAAGAGGAAAGGAACACCCCGCCACATACTGTACTGCAAACGCTCTATGCAAGAGTGGGTGTGATATAGGGTTTTCTCTTTCTCCCAGGAGTTTGTGGTAACTTGAGGTTCAACACAAGAGCTGTTAAGCAGTTTCCTAGCTAGGAGTGGGCATCTGTCAGCCTGAATCAAGGCTGATCTTTAAAACCCAGGGGGTTGCCTGTCCTGCACATGAGTGGGGATTCACTCAACTAGGAAGCTTCCATGATACACAGTATCTGCCGTTTCTTCAGTCCTTTGTCTTTCTTTGTCATTCGATTCTAGGCCTTTCCTCTGCACGCTCAATACCCGATAAACTATCAGGATTAACTAACGAAGAGGAAAAAAAAAAAGAAAAGAAAAGAAAATTCTCTAATGTTTCTACTGTTTTCCCCACACAGCCTGTTCCCCTTTGAAAAGATTTTTGCTGAAAGTAATTTTTTTTTTAAATATAACAACACAACAACCCATAATTGAACTTTCAGGAAAGTGTGAAGATCCAAAACAGCTTTGTCTCCAAAGAGGATTGCTTTCTGTCTGCTAGGGATATAGTCCTACACTCCTACACACAATTTTTGTCAAGTGGGAGACCTGGATGACACGCAGGACTTCAGACTGTTTGGACAGCCATTTTCCAACAAACAAGGGGCCAAAATATCTGCAATATAGTAACAGCCTTAATGATACATTTTGTGTTTTATACAGCTGTTCTGAGCTATGTCCTCAATGTTTTAACACATTTATATTCATTACAATCTTCAAACAGAACCTTTTTATTGATTTGTTTTGTTTTGTTTGTTGGTTTTCCTACATCATTTTTTCCCGAGCTATACCAGGCCAACTGCCCAGGCCTTTCACAGGTCTGTCAGAAACGCTCATTCCAAAGCATAGCAAAAAGCAGTATGTCTCTGAAGTGGATTGCAATGAACAAAAGTGAGAGTCATGTTTTAGAGAAAAATTGACACTGGTATTACATAGGTGTAACCCTTTGAGAACTATTGGATCAGTTTTCAGAGTCCGATGGATGCTAACCTGGGTTGCCATGAAATTACAGGACTGGGCAGATGTGGTATTTGGAAATACAGGTTAAAATACATTCAGGTTTTTAAAGCAGATTTCCTGTGACTGCAAGTAAAGGTTTTTAGTTACTTGCATTATTGGTAAACAAAATAAAATATTTATAGCAAATAAATAAGAATTAAACTATATTTGCCAGCTACTTTCTGGTTAAATAAACCAAACTTATTTTAATAATGTCTAGCACTTAGACAGGATTTTTGAACCAGCTACAGTTTTATAGCTTACACATATTGAAATTCTGTTTTAAACTATGTTGCATGATAATTCAATTTGTCTTGGTACATGAATACACAAAGGTAGAGTTACAGTAACAAAAGAGAGCTAAAAATGATGACTCTGATGTTGCATGAGTATCCTCTGGTGCATTACGTATTGCATGTTCACCATAGTTCTCAAAGGGTTAGTCAAATCTTTGGCATTTAGCCGTACATTAAATCACTGACAGAGCCAAGGGACCACCAAAGCATTTTGTCATCTTGTGTAATTTGTGCTAACAGCAGTATTGTCATTTTCATGTGACCTGCAGAGCAGGTTTGTATCAATATTTTTTTCCTAGAGAAAAGTCACCAACTGACAGACCTCTTTATTGAATTTAAGAGCTGCTTCTTGCAGTGATAGGCTTTACAGTCACTGGGCTGTGAACTTATTAAAGATGGTCAGAATGAATGCACCCCATGAGTCAGACACCTGGCTTTTTATGAAAGCCAGGATTTGAGGGGAGTAGCTTTTGAAACAATGAACAGCTTGCCTTGAACTTGATTATTGATCTGTTGACTGTCATTACCATGTTAAACATTGTCTTCTGTGAACAGTTTCACTGTCTGAATTTCCTTAAAGTGTACCATCCTATGTCTTTGCTCTTTGACCTTTAACTTGCTAACTGGCACAAACTGAAGGGAATCTGGTGTTACAAATCAGTTTTGATTGTTTTTTTCTTTTTCAAAGGCCTGATATTCATTATCCAAGGTTATAGAAAGCATTGAACTGTTTTCTTAGAAAAGGAAGTGACAGCAACAAAATATTTATGGTAGATCTGTAGATGGATATTTTGCTATGTATACATGCACACTCTAAAAATGAACTACAGTAGAAGTGAATTTTTATTAGCTTGAATACAATTTTCAGTATAAAATGAGTCATTTCTACAAATTAGTTATTAATGACAAACATATAGGAAAAATACTAAAATACTTGAAACAGTCAGCACTGACTTTTACATAAAACAAATTTTTTATACTAGAGTCAACCAATTTCTTACTGATTTCCTAATCTACATTACTAGATCATTTTTTAGAGAGTGTAGGTATATATACATATATATATATATATATATTATTATTTTGGTAATGGATAGCTTGACTGCCTTGAATTTATATTTATATTGAGCATAGCATGAAAAAATAGTATGCCTTTTTGTTCAATTACATGATTTGATTTTGATTTGAGGACTTATTTTAAGATCATGTGTGGCATGCTATAAAGCATTGCAAACTGTTATTTCTTAGAACATAAACAGATTTATGTACGTACAGCTAAAAAAATGAACAGTTAGAAAAGAGGTATAGTTTTACAGTTAATATGCAATGCAGGTGGCATTATGGAGATGTTTTGTAGAGGTACTGTATACTGTATGTTAGAAGTGCACCAGTATCAGCCCATAGCATTGCTGCCATAAATCCATTTCAGTTGTTGCTGAAAATTTAGAGTTTAGTCATAGTTACAGAGCATAGGATAATATTTACTGCACATCAGCTCATTCAGTAAATTCAAAAGACTATGCCTGTCTGTCATATATTTTTAATCCACTGAGTGACTTCTGTTGTCAGCAAACAGCTATAAATTTATGTTCTGCTACAGACAGAACAAAATAATTCATACTTTTCCTGATTTTACCCCTTGGATAGTTGGTGGAAAACACTGACAAAAGTATTTAATCTGCATTTGATTTTCCTCTGCAATAGAAAAACTAAACAATGTGATATTATCTTTAAAACAGAACACCATTTTATCTGTTTTCTGACTCACCTGGAGATTTCACTTCATTTTCAAAGTCTCTCTCATGGCAGCTTTGACTTTTTGTGCAACTATTTCCCTAAGGATAAGGAAATGCTGAGCATGTTGACTTGTGCATTGATAGGGTAACAAAAATGTTTGTATTTGGAGAATTTAACTTACAGTAATTATGCAGAAAGGTAAGTGTGATAATCTAGTGCTTGGTACAACATAGATAAATGAATGCATAATAACTTGATTCTTCAATCTATTTTCTTTTACTTAAAAGTGCATATATATAATTATATACAGAGAGAGGGATAATAAGAGCATTGTACTGGCATGTTTATGCCATACAGGCTACGGTTGTGTCAGCATTTCTATGGTATACTTCTGTTTTCAATAGGTTATAACACGTGTCAGCATTTCTATGGTATACTTCTGTTTGGAATAGGTTATAACCCAGCCATTAAAATTTGCTTCAGGCTTAAAGATCTAGGAGTAATTTGTGTTTGGCCTAGTATCCAAAATATGTGTGTGTTTGTTTTAAATTATAGGTGTTCAGCACAAATACATTTTTTTACTGGGTTTAGTTTTGACCTTGTATAAGTCAAAAACAGTTTATAATTTAATAAAATGAAATTTGATAAACAGTCGGGACCCAGTAGGGTCTAGAATTATTAGCATCAAGGGGGGGAAAATAAAATACCTGCTTTGAGTTCTGAAATTCTGGTTACTGGTCATGTTCAGTAACATTTTTCATAATGTTTTTAATAGACATCTCCATATTAATATTGTTACAATCCATATTATGAATAACTGCAATATGAAAAATGGGTTTCGTCAATCTGCTACAGGCTATCAAACTGAATGTAGTGGGTTGCTTAAATCTAGAGTCCAATGTCTGTGTTATGCAGGAGGTCAGATGATCATAATGGTCCTTTCTGGCCTTCTAACCTATGAATTTATGAAAAAAGTTATTTACTATATGCAGAAATTAACTTTTACCAGAAAAAAAATTTAAGAAAATATGTATGCCTACGTTTACTTGATGGGCTGGAATGGAGATTCAAAAGGGCTCCAAAGGAGCCCTTTCAAATCTCCTGAATAAGTACAATACACATTTTATAACATCCTATGGACAATTTTTCTTTATTTACCTTTTTCAGAGAAGGGTTGGGGATCATGTTATAAATCTTAAAAAACAAAAGAAGAAAAGGTTTAGGTTATGAAACAAATGACAAGAGGTAGGAAACTTCAGAGTTAAGAGCCAGACTCCCTTTATCTCATAACCTGGTTTATGTTTTACTCTCCTCCCAGAATCCCTATTCCAATAAGAATAAACTATAAGATTTAACTTCAAATTCCTCAGCTTTTTGTTAGCTTATGTCACAGTTAGTTAAATGTAATTTTTGGTACTTAATTATATCAAATCAAATTCTGGCTTGTTGGTTGGAAAAAGTGCATAGAGCAGAAAAGTAGATCTGCCTAGAAGCAATGAAAGCATAACATTTTTATTTAGTTTTTTTTCACATTTGCATTCTTGATGGGCAAGGCTTGAAAAGACGCATAACAGACTCGGCAGTGCATGCTCCATACATTATGCATTCAACTGTCGCATGCATGGCAAAAGAAATTGAAACCATCACAGTAGGACCAGACTGAAGCACAATATCAGGGGGTCTCTCTGCTGCAGACCCATATCCCATGTAAATTCAGGCTTGACCTATCTGCTAGTTTGGCATTGGGTCCAGAAATGGACAATGCTATGTTGAGGCAGAACAACATCTAGCTGGGGTCATCTAAACCCAGCCCTCTTTCCTGCCTATGCATGGGGTCGGACTCGATGATCTATTGAGGTCCCTTCCGACCCTAACATCTATGACTCTATGAACTTCATTCACCCATTCAAGAAGACAAGAAAAGGAACCAACAACAGGACCAGTAGTTTTCTACGTGTATATGTGACCTTTTGGCTATACTACTTAGAGTCCCACAAACAAATGACTGCAGCACCATCAGCTACCTAAAAAGGCATCCTTAGAAAGGGCAGCATGGCCAGCTGTCTAACTGGAGGTCAAATTAGGATGTAAATCATATAGTTCCTAGGCATATACTAAGGAACTGATAGTCACAATTAGTGATACAGCAAAATCATTATTGACACACACTGTAACACTGAACATACTTTATTAGTTCACAGTATGCTGCTTGTAGTGGCATAATTGTGGCCGTTTAAGATGAGGCTGATTCCGTGGAATGCATGCATACACACACACAACACCTGTATAAAAGTAGCAACCATGGCATACTCAATGTAGATCAACAGAGCTTTTCTTATTATGCTCCAATTACTAAACATCATGATAACACATGATCATTTCTCATCTGTCTTTTTCATTCTTGTGTCCTGCCTAATAGTTGGCACAAAGGTTGAGCTGATATGGAGAGGCATTGGTATCAGTTGAAGTGTTGCACCCAATAACCAGTATTAACAGTCATGATCAGAATGTCACCATCACTAGGTTCATGTAATAGCTGACCCCAGGGCATCTTCTACTGTCACACAATGTAGATACCGTATTTTGGAATGTTATATGATTCATATATGAATAGCTAAGAAAGCTCACTGATGATTTGAGTTCCAGATGCCTGAGGAACATTAGTATGTCACTATTGTAATTGCTGCCTTACCTTACCAGTGCCTAAGACCATTGTTCCAAAGTTAATCATAGAAACATGCTTAGGAAATACCTCTTTCTCCTAATATACGTAAGTTTTAGCATATCGGTTACCAATTCTCGTCAGTTTGTTAATATTTGTGAACACAAAGTGAATGCAAAATTATTAGATACAGCATCCCCTTGTATGGAACACACACTGATCATAGGCATGGTATTGAAAACCTTATGCACTACTGTAGTCTTGCAGTGTGTGATCAACGAAGTGCTACTGAATGATGAAACTGAACACACCAGTAATAGCTACTAAAACAAGTATAACTAGAGAGTACCACCTATACCGCCCTATTCATGCACTGCAGTGTGGAAAGGATACCACAGGAAAAACACACACGTGGTAACTCTTACATACTACTCTTTCTGCCTAGAAAGCTATGCAACATGGCTTCATAAGCTTGTGCATAATGGCAGCATCCACAGATCATTATTGGAATGAGCAATCCAGACTAACCATGGAGTTTTGATTAGTCAATAGTAATCCTGACCTTGTAAAACTACAGGATCTCATATTTAAAAATGGCTGTTCCATGGCATCAGCAACAGTGGCATGTGGCCACTCATCAGCATGTCTTTTTTTTCCTTTTCCTTAATGTTTAGGTGGGGTGCAAACCTGAATTTAGCATCTCTCATCAGTCAGTTCTTGCAGTTATAATGTACAATGAACAGTTGCTCCTATTTCATTAAATGATACTAATATATAAAATAATACTACTTATTCAGTGGCCTGTCCCCCAGTGTAATTCAATGGCCTGTCCCCCCAGTGCAATCTGCAGCAACATCCTTTCACATCCTTTCAAGTGGTCTAATAAATAAATGCCATTTTTGCTTTCCCTTTGTATCAATTTGGGGATGTGATCAGATATCCATGTAACAACTCTGTATGGTACACTCCAGAAAAAAATGAGGTATCACTGTCTGATAATACATCTCATCTCTCACCCATTAGGAACACCATACTTTCAAATCAGTCCCCTGCTAATAGAAGTTAAGCATTTACAAAAGATAGTGAGTCACATTGTACAGTCACATTTTTTTCTGATACTAAAATCTCATTGCACTCACATACTAAAGCGCTACATTCATGACATAGATAGTCACATATACTGTACTCCCATCAGTTATTAATCATGTATATACTGTAGTGACCCTTAATAGGTAGTTTGGCACCATCATGCCAAACTACCTATGCCCATGACAAACCAGTTTGTTATTCCTAATTTGAGATGAAGCATAGTGGTCAGCAGTATAAAGTAATTACTAATAGTGCTCACACTCTCGTATGGAATGATACCTGAGCATATCTAAGTAAGCGCTATTAGAAAATGGCATACATTGAATTTAAGTGCAAACTGGTACACCCACCATTTGTGCTTTTCATAGCCGTTGCCACATAAATATGAAAGCTGACCTGCTATTCCTGATCACATTATCTCAGCAATGCCAGTAATGTTTGACTCTTTGTTTACGG